ACTGAGATCATGGTGATGGCTGTATAACCTTGTGAGTCTGCCAAATATTGCTGAATTGTACACTTTCAAATAAAAAATGTTATGGTATATAAATTATATCTCAAATAGTAAATTAATAAACTGAACTTCTGGAAAAGGATAAAACCATAAATAGTAGAAAACAGGAAATGTAAAATTAAGGGCAGCGCAGTAAATCCTAACTCGAATCTAAGAACAATTAGTTCTTACATCCTGGCCCTGCTTAATACTCGCCCTCAGGAAGGGAACACAGAAGATAAAGGTGCTATAGCAAAGTGTGGTGAAGAAATTAGATGGTGCCTGAGTTAGTTAATTGTGCCAACCTGGCCGATAATCACATGTGGGGCTAATTGAAAGGCGGAGGGATAAATGGGTGGTGAGCCTCACCTTTTTAGTTCTCGGGTTTCTTGTTTTGTGATGGTTGCACCGGGTGCATCTGCCTTAGCAGTTCCCTGCTTCAGCTTGCAAGACTGACTTCCTACAAGACATCCCCAAGGAGAAGCTACATGGACCTATCCCGATGCAGCCCTGGGTGCTGGAGCAGCCGTGTGGAGACCCCTGCTAGTGCTGCGATGCTTATTGTTCATTGACTCAGCTTTCCTCCTCAGTCGGCATCATTGCCTCTGTTTTGTGAGGTGGAGGACTTTGTGGACTGGTGTTGGGTCAATGGGTTAATGTTGGACTTGTGGGCTTGGGCAGCATTGGGTTGGGATGTTTTCGTGATGTACATTTTCTTTACATAAAACTCTCTTATACATGAGTTGCTGTGGATTTGTTTCTCCAAAGTACCTAGACTAATACAGTGCCTGACTAACAAACAGAATAGTTTCTGGGATCTTGAAGGCTTATTTCCAAAAAAACCCCGACCATCTCCTTATGAGTCCTGGATTCCCTGTGTTTCCAGCTCTGATCTGTACCAGTGTACATACTCTGGTCTAGCCAGATTTGGAAGATAAAATTGGGATCATAATAGTGGGGGGAGGAAGCATTAAAAAACTAGAGGGAAGTTGTATGTTTCATTGGTGCTATACTGCACCCTGACTGGCTCATCTCTTCCTTGTGAAGACTTATTTTCTTTTTTTTTTTTTAGAAAATCATTTTATTGGGGGCTCGTACAACTTTTATCACAATCCATACATACATCCATTGTGTCAAGCACATTTGTACATTTGTTGCCATCATCCTTCTCAAAACATTTGCTTTCTAGGACTTATTTTCTTAAAGAAGCAATTTCCTTAATCTACTAAATCAACAGATCTTGCCAAGTTAACTGTAAAATTCAGTTAAAAGAATAAATGACAAAAATAAGCAAGACAAAAAATGAGGAGCTGATATCAAGGGCTCAAGTAGAAAGAAAATGTTTTGAAAATGATGATGGCAGTATATGTACAAATGTGCTTAGCACAATGGATGGATGTATGGATTGTGATGAGATATAAGGGCCCCCAATAAAAGTATTTAATTAAAAACATCGTTTTAGTTCAAAAGATATTTCATGGCTCAAGTCATGGATTGAATGTTATGATTTTTATTTCTTACAAAAATTATATGTGCATGTATAAATACACGCATGATATTGATGTTTATATATGTGTATGTATACTTGTATTTTATATTTATATCTGAATATGTAAATCTATTAAATCATGAATCAAAAACCTTCAAATAAAAAAAATAAGCAATGCCATATCTGAAAATAAAATGGGGAAGATTTGACTGATCAGATAATAAGATTGACTATTAAGACAGGGTACGGATGCACAGACAAATGAACCAAGCAATAGAGAGCAATGGAGTGCTGCCAAACAAACCTTTGCTTACATAGATATATAGCAGGTGGCACTTCAGGACTAGTGAAAGGATAGATTCTTCATTCAATTGTCCTAGGACAGTTGGTTATACATTATGTTAGCCTGGGTTGACTAGAGAAACAAATCTAGTGACACTCATTTATGTGTAAGAAAGAGCTTTATATCAAGAAATCATCATGTATCAGGAGAACATTCCAGCCCAATCCAACTCAAATCTGTAAGTCCCTCTTCACACCCACACAGCCACATGCAATGATGCAGAATGCAGGAATATCACAGGCCGGTGGGTGCAAAGTCTGTGGATCCAATGCCGATGGTGGAATCTCCAGGGCTCTGGCAGCAACCTGGGCCAGCCAGCCAGAAGGGGAAACCAGAGAGAGAAGGGGAACTTCCTAGGGCTCTCTTTATGAGAAGGCCATGCCTACAAGGAGGCACCATCAGGCTTTGACCTGATTGACAGGTTGAATACTACTGCTACACTTTCAAGTTGACATGACATTATGTAACCATCACATCCATATAGAGAAACAATACAATTGGATCCCTCACAGTACATACCGGCTGCCTTCAAGATGTAACTTGAGCAATGAAATTAAAAAATGTTTCACAGAAAATATAAATGATTTTTTTAATGATGCCAGGGAGGAAAAGTTTTCTTAAACAAGATACAAAATAGATACAAACTGTGATGCAAACTGTAAACAAAAAGCTGGTAATTTTGATTCCATTAAAAGGGTAAGCTTTCATTCATTGGAAGATCATTAAAAAGTCATTGTGGGAGAAGATATTCGAAGCACATATAACATGCAAAGAATTGGGATTCACATGATTGCTGAAGACAAAATGGGTGCATAAGCAAATGTGGTGCAGAAAGCTGATGGTGCCCGCTATTAAATGATATAGTGGCTGGGATCTTAAAGGCTTGAAGATAAACAAGCGGTCATTTAGCAGGTAAGCAACAAAGCCCACATGGAAGAAGCACACTAGCCTGTGTGATCATGAGGTGTTGATGAGAAGAGGTATCAGAAGTTCAAAAACAAGCAACCAAATCATTGTGAAGGGGTGTGGATGTAGTGGAGTCCCCACCTGTAAGATAACTAGACAGTCCTTCTTAGAAGGGCCACACAGAAGGGATGATAAATCCAGGGTATGGTATAGCACTGATGAACCACATAACCACCCTCGAGTTCTTTAATATATCCTCCCCTTAATATTATGGCTTTTATATATTTTTACTTCATTAACCATGTTAGATTTTCATTTGTTCATTTGTATATTTAAGATCATTCAGTACATAAAAGCCAAGATAGATAACCCTTTAGAAATAGTAACAGGAGTAACGGTTCTCTGAGGATATGGGAAAAGAGGGGGAGAACAGGGAGCTGATAGCATTAATGACTATATAACCCTACTCCATGGGATCGAACAACAGAATTATGTGAATATATATAGTGGATTG